ATCAGTGTTTTCAGACACTTTGTTGGTTCCTCCGAAAGTCCACCATAAACGACACAGCTGTAGTGAAGAAATATGAGAATAGAAACAAGGAGTTTACGAGTGGTGCAATGTAGAAGGAGCCAGAACAGGCGGAATTGAATATTAAGCCAGGAAATTTTGGAAATGTGTGGTTTCGAAGAAAGATTTTGGTTGAGGTTTTGAACAGTGGAGCAGAAGATGATTTGCTGGTTTTTATGGTGAAATGAGGGATAGGGGTAGGATTTGAGGAGGTGACAACCTCAAAACACAACTGACGACCATTCCAAAACTGCTAAATTTAATATTTGTAAAAAAATTAAATTTTCAACCTAATTAAACACACACAGAATAGAGCTTGGCTAACAACTTGGTCGTTTCATAAGCTTTCTAGCGGTAGAGCGTTTCTCTAATTACATCGAACCAAAATGCGGATTTTATGCTAAAAGCGAAAACAGTGGTGACGGTGTGAAAAATAGGAAATTAATCTAATAATTCAACTTTTTGTCCTGGGCCAAATTTATTTCCCAACTTTAACTTAATAATAAAAACCACAATAACAAATACATATGAAACATAACCGAAAAAAGAAATAATAAAAATAGCGAAATAGCAAAAGAGAAAATTGGACGAAATATCTGCACAAAACACAAAAAAGAAGACAAGAACAACAGCACATAAGTAAACCCAAATTTAACATTAAAAAACATAAAACGAAAGAAAAATTAAAAGCATAAAAAGACACAATAAAAATAATGAACAACCAACCAAAGTACAATGAATTTTTATAAGCCTATATTTAGCTCTTTTCACTTTTTTTTCTGATTTTCGAAAAAATGAATAGTCTAAAAGCTACAAGTAGATTTACGATGAAAACCACAGGTCGTTGATAAAAGATAAATTTAATCGTTATATATTTAGAGGACATATATATATATATAAATCAAATCGTCTATATAGTTTTTGTTTTTTAAATCCATTATAACATGAGGTTTTAAGGGGAAGATTCCATATTCTTTTTAATCTTCTGCTAGTTTACCTTGTCTTTAAATAGGGTTCTTGACTTGAAGAAAATTACCGCATTAAATTAAGAGAATCTAATTATAATAGTTTATTATTCACAACTGTTTCAGAATCCTCATTGAAGTTCCTACCTATTGTACAGGGTACCTAAAGGTAACTACAGTCTTTTTTCAGGCCAGTACTTGTAAATTTTGCATGAAATTTGTTATTCCCAAGCAGTTGTGCAAAGACGATAATTCGTTGCTCCTTATGCCGTTTGGGTGAAAAGGAGGTCCTTTTACGTATTTTATTCGATTTCCGAATTCATGAACCTTTCCGACTTGATTAATTGGATTTTGTTTTGGGCAGCAACTCTTTCCCAGCAAGCCTTGTGGACCTGCTGAACGGACTGTCAACGACCTTCATATGCTATGCGAATTAGGTCATTTATGTTGAATGTGTGAAACTTGTATGGAACTTGTACGACGGATTTTGTAATTTACCTTTAAAAATTTGTTGTTGTTACAAAAAATGTTATTTAATCTTCATCTTGCCTATTTTGTAGTTATATATATATTTTTTTAGGAGGTTCGCAACACAGAGGTCATATAAACCCTCTGGGTGCCGGTTTTTTGAAAAAAAAGCCCATTTGTATGTCGGGTTGGAAAGCAGGGCCGCTGGATTCGAACCCGGGACCTTTACCTTCCAGAGATGAGCGCCGTGTCAACGCCTAAACCGTTGCGACCACCGACGCTCCTTTATAGTTTATATTAGTTGATTTTTTATGGTGGTTGTGTGCATTATAAGTTCCTGATAATTAGGACTGTGAAATATATGAATTTGCTCATTTTTCCTGGTTAACTAAAACATCCAGTTTTAAGAAACTGTTTATGTTTCGAAGTATTTGCAATCAATTTAAGCTATATTTATTTTGCATATTTATGCATATATTGTCATAAATGCATATTTTTGCATAAGTGGGTTATAATTTCATATTTTTTTACATATCCGGTATATACGTCAAATTTTAATAGTTCTGAGCAGGCAAAAAGAAAAATGCTCCGAAAAAGAACCTATTCTTCTATTTCCACATAATGAACGAGTTTGTGTTTGTCCAGTTGCTGGTCCAGCGCTCTGCAAATTTCGCCTTTGCTTCTCTTGGAATAAATAGGGAAATGAATAGTGTTTGTACCACTGCAAATGTACTCTTCGAATAGTTTAATTTGATTCATAGAAATATTACGACCTCAGTTTTCTTCTTTCCCTACCATCATACTTCTCAGTTTTACCCAGTCTCTCATGCGTTTTCCATCATGAAACATTATTTGTTTCTTGTGAACTGACTACTCCAATAATGCCGAAAGTGACCGCAAAGACGAAATATCTTGTTCAAAAGTATGTGTGTGAGTTTTCAAGTGAGACTTTTAAAGGCTATGCAGACCTTTTATACTGTGTTTCTTGTGATAAACCTGTATCAACAGCTACACGGTTTTTGATAAAACAGCACATAAAGACAGCAAAACACAAGGAAAACTAAGGCAGGAAGAAGAAAGAAAGAAACCTTTGCGACAAAAGTTGCCACAAGAACTAGGTCTGCAAAGTCCTGTTTCGATACCGATTTACGTCGTGCTTTAGTTAGAGCTAACATCCATAAACTAAGTCACCCTGAATTCAAGGTTTTTTTTTAGAAATACCCTGGGAAAGCCATTCTCCACGAAAGTACCCTCAGGGAAATCTCACCTGGATATTGAATGAAACACTCCATAAAATCAGAGACTTAATCAAAAATGGACCGATCTGGGTCTCGGTGGATGGGACGACGGATTTTTTAAAATTGAACTTTTTTAAATGCGTTTTTCTTTTTAAATATTAGTAATGTGATGTTCCTCTTACCAAAATTTCTTTTTTCAATACTATTTTGTGCTTTAATTTGAGGTTTCCTTATTTTTTCTCATGGTAGTTTTCGCACATTTTCATTTTTAAATTGGATTTTTATCAAATATATTTACACATATATGTCCATATTTGTCTGTTTTTATTGCATATAAATCACAGCCCTACTGATAATTATTCATAGCCTGATAATATGTAACTGTTTTTGAACTTTAATTCATATGTGAACGTTCAGAAAGTCCTCTCTAATTTATAGATCCAAAATCTTTTGCAAGTATGTAATAAATAAATAAAATTTCATGGCAATCCTATTCATAACCGATTGTTAGGTAAAGTCAAACGGCGAAAATTGCACAAACTTTCCAGCTGGAGTGTACAGAAAATTTTTTAATATTTTTTTGGGCGATATTAAAGATTTTTTTAAAATAAATCTGACAGCGTATATGATGATGGGTAGGAAATAAATTGTCTTTTTCACAATAGGCATTTATTTCGTCAGACGCGTTTGGGTCTAATATAGAGCATCTTCAGTGACTTTTTTTATATAAAGTGGTTTGACAGTTGATTTTTTTTTACGTTCTAATACAAATCAATCTCGACAGACTACTCGCAAAGGCCATAGTCGTCCAGACATCCACTTCTGAACTTAAGTATGTAAAAAAACCGTCAAACCACTTTGTATAAAAAAAGTCTATGGACCGAAACGCGTCTGACAAAATAAATGCCTATTTGGAAAAAAGAGCTTATTTCCAATCCATCGTCTTATTATGGAGTTCCACAAAATCAGGATGGACACCATCAAAAAATTAAAAGTTGACTGATATGATTCATCTTTAGTGACTTTTTATATATATAAAGTGGTTTGACAGTTTTTTTACATTCTAATATAAATCACTTTTGACACACTACTCGCTAAGTCCGTAGTCGTCCAGACATCCAGTTCTGAACTTAAGAATGTAAAAAAACCGTCAAACCACTTTGTATAAAAAAAAGTCCCTGAAGATGGTCTATATTAGACCGAAACGCGTCGGACAAATTAAAGGCCTATTTGGAAAAAAGAGCTTATTTCCTATCCATCGTCTTATTATGGAGTTCCACAAAATCAGGATGGACACCATCAAAAAATTCAAAGTGGACTGATATGATTCATCTGTTATTGCGTCAAGTAGTCGAATAAAGGATTTTTAACAATACTGCATGCAACTGCTCAAAACAGAAAAGTCTTTTCATAATTTTACACTATTTCTCTGCCATTATACGACTTTTTTGGTATATTGTTGTATAAATACACAATAATAGTACAGAAGAAGAAATCAATGTGATTTTAATTCTTGAAAGTTAGGCAGGACTTTGCGTTTAGATTGGTCGTTTCCTATTCTCAACTAGGTATCTCAGGTCTTAAGCTTAGGTTTTTGTCTACTATGACTGTCATGTCCTCAAACGATTTGTACTGATAAAAAGGGGGTTAGGAACTGTGAACTGAAAGTGATGTTAAGGGCTGTTGAATCTTCACACAGAGAAAGTCGTTCCTTTTGGATAGATTTCCATGGTTAAGTTCATCACACTTGCCACCCGCGGTCACAACCAAGCTCGGATCAGCCGACTGTATAAAGTTCGCTGGATTACTGGCCCCGTCTTGGCCCGGGGCGGCCTGTAAAAGGGCGGAAGAGCGGTAGAAGAAGAAGAAGCGGAGATGAGAGCAAAGAGAAACAAAGTACACGGTCTGATAACATTCCCCTTTCTCTTTGTGCGCTCAAATTAAAACATCCCCCACCCTGGATTTTTAGTACCCCCTGCTTTTTCCAGGGGGGAGCCGAGGAGAGAATTTTTGCAAGGGTTGCCTCGCGCATGTGTCCACAGCCGTGGTGTCACCGTGTTCCTCCGGAGTGACGGGGGAGGGCGAAAAAATAATGGCCGGCAAACAGAGCCCTGCGTGCGCTTTTTCCCGGGCTCTCCGTTTTTCCGGGGGAGGGGAATAATGCGCGAAAAATCCCGAGGGGTTGCTGCCGCGCTGGTTTTTTTACCCCCGGGCTACAGCCCCCTCTCTACAACCCAGGAGTCACTTTCTGAAAAACTCCTCAGTTGTTATTTGTGCGACACCCCTGAAACTTTGTTTCAATCCAAATCTCGCCAAAGCCCAGAATCGAAACGTCATTTCTTAAAATTTGATTTTTAAGATCTCTATCGATTTGTAAGCCGATGAGTTTCTTCCTCCCTCGCGGCGCGCAGCCCTCGACCTCTTCCGTGCCACCCCTGCCTACTTGCCCCGTTCTAATTACAACCCCATTAATCCGCTTCCCAATCGTTAATTACATTGTTCTTCCCCTTCTAAAAGCAAAATTAAACTCTTTTATCACACATTTTTATAACTGAAAATAAATTATCATTCTTACAATCATTATTTTAATGATTGACCAAAAAAATCACTTCTAACACACACTTAAAGCAAATGTAAACACACATGTTCAAATGCTTCAATTTTTTTAAGCACCACTTAACTAAAGGGCTTTGGTGTTGAGTAGAATATATCCGTAATGAAGTGAGTGTTTATTAGCTGACCATTTTGGATATCCCCCCTTAAGGTAAGTACATGCCTTAAATTAAAAAAAAGAAGATATTTAATGCATTTCAGGATATAAAATTTGACTTTTACATTTGATTAACAAACAAAATGTTTCCTTTGCAGCATCAAAGCAGTTAAGTAACGACGCTAAACCGACTTAAAATTACCAGAACCAATACAGACTTTTAAAAAATCAAATTCTTGGCAAAATTCAAATTTTGAGTTCATTCCGGGTCATAAGATTATTTTTCATTTTTTTTACAAATTAAAGTCGGCTACGTGAGATAAATATCCTATTTTTTATCCCAATAAACTTTTAATTTTGAAAGTGAAAGGTTCTATCAATTATAAAAAAATAATATTCTTTTATTAATAATATCGCTCATAATTTTTTGTTTTTTACAAATTAAAGTCTACTATCTGAAATTAATATTCTATTTTTTGTCCTAATAAAATTATAATATTGAAGGGTTTTATTAACTATAAAAAAACGAATATTCTTTTATTAATAATATCGCTCATACTTTTTCATTTTTTTACAAATTAAAGTCTGCTATCTGAAATTAATATTCTATTTTTTGTCCTAATAAAATTATAATATCGAAGGGTTATATCAACTATAAAAAAACGAATATTCTTTTATTAATAATATCGCTCATAATTTTTTGTTTTTTACAAATTAAAGTCTACTATCTGTGACTAATATCTTATTTTTTGTCCTAATAAAAGTATAATATTGAAAGGTTATATCAACTATAAAAAAAAAATATTCTTTTTTTAATAGCATCGCTCATAATTATAAAAAGATAATATTCTTTTATGAATAATATCGCTCATAGTTTTCCGTTTTTTTGTTGTTTTTTTTTTTAATTTAAAGACTGCTATCTGAGATTAATATCCTGTTTTTTTGTCCTAACAAAATTATGATATTGAAAGGCTATAATAATATAATATTCTTTTATTTACAATATAGCTAATAATTTTTTGGTCAGTCGAAATAATTTTAAGATCTTAGTTATAGAACAATAAATGAATGATTAAAAAATTATTTATTATATTGTTTAATATAATTTGTTTTATAACTATGATGATGAAGATCATTACGTTGAAAGGATACTTTCTATACGGACTATTTTCCACCATTGTAATTGAACTAATAGTTTAAAAATAAACCAGACAGTTATTTTGGATTTTTAAAGAGTCTGGTAAAAAATTACAAACGCTGATGACAAATGACGTGAGTAAGTACTACTGAAGAGGTCATCCGGCAATGGGTAGATTGCGCCCTCGAAATATCAGAAAAAAATTAACATATAACAAAATTGCTTTAAAAATCTCCTAGTAGTGATAATTCCGATTAATATCTTATCATTTTTTGATGGAAAAAAATTTTGAGCTGGTAACTTTAAGGCTATAGAGTGGTCATAATCGAAAAGTATCTTTAATTTTAAGGTGCTCTAGTTTCTAGGTGTTTGTTGAATAATGACTTTCTTCCTTGTGCACTCTTCGACAATTTATTTCACGATTTTTCTAATTTTGTTCATTTTCAAACTCAAGGAAAAATTATTTTTGAACGCCTGAGCAGGTCAGTCCAGAAATTCAGAGAAATCCAGAACATGAAAAACAGTTACATAAATTGACAGATTTTTGGTGACGTTTAAAAACAAATTTGCCATTTTTAGCACCTTTATACATACCAGGTTCATTTATGTTTGACCTGCCCAATAAACTAATACGACAATGCGAGACCTGTCACAATTATTACTTTTCGTAATATTGCTTTCATAGTCAATATAGTTTTTTGTGCAATTTTGAGGAACTTTTCAATATTCAGGTTCGTCAAGTTATTACTATCTGTTTCTTCAATATGTCAAAAATAAATAAACTAATACGACAATGCGAGAACTGTCACAATTATTATTTTTCGTAATATTTCTTTCATAGTCATCATAATTTTTTGTCCAATTGTAAGGAACTTTTCAATATTCAGGTTCGTCAAGTTATTACTATCTGTTTCTTCCTTCTCATTGCACAACATACAAATATGGCCACCATAAAACATATCCTTGTTATTTAGATATTTCTACTGTAACTGGAGCAGGGTGTTTGCCAGCCTTGGTTGTTTTAACATAAGCTTACTATGTCTAGAACATCAAATGTTTATCCACTTTCTTTTAGTTTTTATACTTTCCTCCTCCTCTTAAGTTTATCCTTTTCTCTTTTTTAGATTCATTCTTTGTTGGAGGATTATGTTTTTCTTATTCCAAGAATAGGTTCAGAGCCACTCTGGCAGATCCTCCTCTGGCCAATTTTTAGCACTTTTTGTTATTCAAAATTCTCTTCCTGGTACCCAAGATCATATTGTGTTACCTCAGGGTTTGAAGATGTTCGATGTTTTCATTGACTAATTTTAATGTGATTTTTTACAGGCTAATGCTTTAAAGCTTGGCTACCCGAACTGATGAGGACTTTTTTTGTGTGACCTGTTTTAAGATTGTACAAGGCACAAGCATTGATAGCATGAATTAAACTTGAAAGTCCTAGGTGTACTTTGCGAGTTTGGTCACTCATATTTTGGACATGTATAGAAAACGACTGAACCGGTTCCTTTATTTGTTTTGGAGCCATCTATGTACGTTATCACTACATCTGATTTTTTCTACTTCTTTTTCTGTTGAGACTTTATAGGATTGTAAAAATTGTTTCTGGGATCATACAAGGATATTTTAGATGGCCCGGCTGAATTTCCCTTGAATCAATGACGCTATAAAAAATTCGAGTTTAATATTTTTTAGTCTAGTTTCAAATTTTAACCTTTTTTGGAGAAAAATTATACAGGGTATCTCAGGCTCCGTTCAACTTCATAATTTCAAATACGACCCTATACATCCTTACACATCAGTTTAAAGGATTTTTTACGCTGAAAACAATGGTGCAATTGGATTTTAAATTGGTCAGAATGTCAAAGTTATGGCGAAAACACCGGCAGAATAATTTCGACAAGGAATATGTTAGTGTGTATTCGCGAAAATCCGAATTCTTCTCTCGAAATTTTGGGTTTTTCAAAAAATAAAATTAGATATGTACTCCGGACAATTTTAAACCGTATCGCTCTCATCTTGTCCGGGGACTTAGGGACTGTCGTTATGACAGGCGTCTTACTTGCACAAATGTCGATTTGGGAGGCTGAAGAAGACGTTCTTCCATACATCCTACGGACTGATCCAAGTCGAACAACCTTAACCAAAAATATGACACAAGGACAACTTAAAGTAAGCATCCGAGTGTTAAACTCGTATGACCTATTCTTAATCGTGTGAGGATGACCCCATCTTTATGAAGTCAAATATAAGACCTTCCCGAAGACAACTTATCTTGGATAGACGTTAGAGTTTTTCTGCCGATCTGCCTCAAGCACGATTTTCATGGCTTGTGGCAGTCCTAATGCTCTTTAAAGGGTGTCCTTTTTAGATGGTTCGGCTGAATTTTTCTTGAACCGATGACGCTATAAAAAAACATCCATGTTTAATATTTTTTAGTCAAGTTTCAAATTTTAACCTTTTTGGGAGAAAAATGATACAGGGTTACCTCAGGCCCAGTTCAACTTCAAAATTTCAAATTATGGTAAAAAGAAACCGGCAGTGTAATTTCGTTGAGCCAGATATTCTACTGTTCGGGAAAATCCGAGTTCCTCTCTCCGAAATGTTAGAAAGATTTTAGGTTGTTTAAAAAAATAAAATGAGAGATGTTACAATTTTAAGCCGTATCGCTTTGATCTTGTCCAGGGACTTAGCGACTGTGTTTATGACAGGTGATTATCGGTCTTTGCACAAATGTCGATTTGGGAGGCTGAAGAACTCGTTCTTCCATACATTTTATGGACTGATGAATACGAGTTCACCTGTAATGGCTTAATAAACCGTTGGAATGTTCGAACGTGGCCAGAGGAAAATCCGAGAATTTCGTACTCTTGTCATCATCAGGTGGTTCACAGTATCAACGTTTGGTGTGGACTTCTCGCAAAATAAATTATTTGGGCCTTATTTCTACGAAATAGTTAGTAGTCAATTCCTCAAGTTTTTGAGGTAGGTTTTGCCAACATTGTAAGATGATGTTTTTCTGTAACAAGACGAAGAATGATTCTCAAGGTTGATGGTGACTCCGGACGGTTCTTCCCAGGTGAGACGTTATTTGAACCGTCACTTCCGGGATAGTTAGTTGGATATGACCTCATGGATCTGTTGGTCTCCTCGCAGGCCCGATATAACTCCACTTGACTCTGTTCTGTGGGGCCATATAAAAAATGATGTCTACGCCAATCATAACCCAGCAATATCAGTGGGAAATGATAGAAAATGCTTGCCAATCCATCTCCCCTGAGTCTATCGCTCTACGCACCGGTGAAGAAGGGGAAAGAAGAGCAAACTTTTGCATCTTTACGCAAGGTAGGCTGTTCTAACATGAAACCTGGTTAATAAATGCCAAAGGACCAAAACAGTTTTTTTATTTTTTTATTTTTAACTTTTTCCCATAGCTGTGTCAGGATGTTTAGAGTCATATTTGAAATTTTGACGTTGAACTGGATATATGTACCCTGTACTATGTTTCTCCAAAAAGAAATTTTTGAAACAAGACTAAAAAATATTAAACACGTATTTTTTTATAGCGTCATTGGTTCAAGAGAAGTCAGCCGGGCCTTATAACGATACCCTGTATAATCAGTCCCCATTTCTAAGTATGCTCCTGAAAACTGACTTACAATATCATGGATCGGTACGTTTTTCTATGTCTTGGGAGTACACACGATTTTCCCATTTTTCGAAGATAGCCTCCCTATCACTCCAAGAAATGTCAGGATTGAAAAAATATAAAGTTGGATCTTAATCCAATGGAACCAAGATATTTTTGTAATTTAGATTAGTATAGAAATCGTGAGATGCGGTCTGGTGTGATGTAGGTTTCAGAAAAACATTTTCTTTATCGTGCCAACGTTTCGATCTTTAATGAGATCATCTCCAG